CGAGCCGAGGTCTCCCGTCCCCCTACACCCCCCCAAACCAAGCAGCGTTTAAGCGAGTGAGATCCAGATCTAAACCCAAGCGTTACATGGCAGGAGGCAGCCTCGGGCAGGGGTAAGGCGGTGTTCGCGAGAACCCAACTCTGACATTGCAGGGAAAACCTCTCGCTGTTGGTGTAAAACATAATAACCATGGCCTTAGCGGTGGCTTTTTGCTATCTTTAGGGACATCAGGTTTGCACGCTGCCTGGCAGATTTAATGCTGTCGCTGAACAGCTTTACCTCCATTCATAAATAACTATTGCTTCTTGTAATTACAAAGCAGTGAATTGTTGAGGCTACAGCTGACTTTCTACTGAAATCTGATTTTGCATACTGAGAAAGGCGTAAGACTAAAGTACTGGGTCAGCTATCCTATTGGATGTTAGCTGTATGCGCCAGGGTCAGCGTGTGTGTGTAACAGCCACGGATGGAGCATTTGTAACGGAGCAGTAAGTTACTTTATCATTTGTGGTCTCTTTGTAAAGGCAGAGTTGAGGTTATCTGGGTGGCTGTGTAAGAAGAGGACTGTTACACTTTTGCTCTTGCGGTATTTCTGAATTTTTTTTTTTGTGGGATGCGGAAAGGACCTTCATGGCTTGTTTCTTGGTTTCCCACATCTGAATTGTGACATTCCTCAGAGAGATTTGAGCAACTGCAAAGTTAACCCCCATCCGGAGGCAGGTTCTATGGTGGAAAGAACAGAAGCTTCATTTTTAAACAGTTCCATTCAATTTTGGGAAATGAAACTGCAAGATACTGATTCTAGAGGGCAGGAATGTAGCACTTTGCATGGGAAAATCAGATAGATAACTCTCAGGAGCAGCAAGGCAAGGTTCCCTGACAGGAACAAGGAGACTTCTCACGCTCTCTGGGAGAAGAGAGCGGCTGCAGTTTGGTGTCAGGTGGTGGCAGGCAGGGCTGATTCTTGGAGCCCTGATGCCACTGGAACAGTGCTGGGGAAAGAGGCTGGTGTGAAACCAGCAGCCTACCAGCACCTGTCAGACAAAACAGCCAAGTTTGGGGCCTTCTGGAGGAAAGTGGTGAAGAATTTGCATGGATGTTGCCAGGTCTATTACTTGCTTTTGGCTGTGTAGGTACTAATCTCCCAAGGTAGATGTGTCAATACATTGTCAGTTTACTGGGACTGTGCCCTAAGAGGCATGGTAAAAATACTGAAATCAGCAGGACTTCAAAGCAACCCGGTTGCTATATTCATCAGTATTTTTATGTGCTGTATATCAGAGGGAAGCCATGCGATAACTCTGCAGGCGTCAGTGTAACTGCAAGTAGGTCTGTCGCACCTTGGTGGAGGAGACAGGGTTTTGGCAACCAGAGATGCTACGCTAATCCCCAACGGAGAGGTCATTTCAAATGGCTGGAGCACACTCACTGCCTTCCCTCCCTCCTGCCTTTGAGACATTAATGAACTTTTTGCCTGAAACTGGAGCAGAGAATTTCAGAGAAAACATCTCTGGACCTCCTGAGATTTTACATAGCTTTCAATGTAATAACGTTTACTTTAAGAGCACTGTGAACTCTCTAAGGAGCATTTTCCACAGTTAGTAACTAGTTTTTCAATTCCCCTCCCAGATTTTGAGAGAGCTGGGAAGGGAGACTGTGACAGCAAAATTAAATGAAATAAACACAAAGGGAAAAGTCTATTATGTGCTATACAAACTATGTAAACACCCCTTAGGAAGATCAGCCTTAACCACTTAAGTCAACAGGAGAAATCACACAGTTAACCCTTAGCCAGGTCACAGTTAGGTCATGAAGCAATGACTGGAGCTCGTACAGGTCTCTGACGTTTTGTACTTGTTCACTTACTAGATGTAAGCATTTACTAAATCACCTTACCTTCTGAGTCACATTCAACTCCTGATCTCAGCTTCTTTTACACATTCGGTCAGTTCCCAGATGTATTGCTCTCCTTTCAACATGTCAAAACTCTGTTCCCCGACCTTGCATCTGCTATGCCACCTGTGCTGTGACCATTTCCTACTTCATCTAGAGTAGGCTTTTGCATGGCTTCTCTCCCCCTCTCTCTCATCTAAGCCTCTGTTCTACCCACTGTAACCTCTTTGCCAACATATGGATGGACCTTTTACACCAAGATAGCGAGGATATCTTTTATCCTTGCTAAGCACAACACTGTTTCTTCCTACCCTTCTGCCTAAACATCTAGCTGTGTTTAGGCTTTCTTCTGCTATATACCTTTCTACTTCTTCCCTATCTTGCTGTCTGTGGTAGAGCTTCATCCAGTCTCTCTTCAGCTCCCTCCTTAAAATGAGTTACCTTGCTGTGATTTCCAAATGAGTTCTGGTGGTAGATGCCTCCAGTCAATCAGATCTCCCCATGTCTGTATTTGCCTTTGCCTGCCACTGAAGGCTCCACTTTTCGGTTGGTCAGGCCGGGAACCTGGAAACAAAATCACGTCTCATTGTCTGGATTTTGTTCCCTTAAAAGCAAGCGGGAAATTTGTCTTGAGGATCTTTTTAAAAGGGCCGCTCACCAGATCTGCACGAGGGACACTAAATCCCCCTTACACAAAATATCCTTAATTGCCTCTGACTTGCAGGGCAGACCCGCCAGCACAACATGGCTGTACAATCAGACACTGCAAGTATCATTATCTCCAATATGAGTAAAATAAATTATGCTTCAGTTTCCCAGCATATTTTCCCTTGAGTCAAGCACTGCCCATACTGCTGCAGGGTGTTAACTTCCCAGCCCGTCCTGCTCTCTGGTGCACAGTTTGGTGGGGCAGAAAGTACCCAGTGCCCTACTGTACCGGAGCCTTCAAGCACAGACTGAGCTTACAGATCAGTACCACCGAAAGCAGCTCTGATTTATCAGGCTCTCCGCTCCATTCCTGAAGGAGTCTTTCCACCCCACTACATCCTCAGCACCCTTACTGATGCTGAATAACAGGCAGAAATGCTTAGGAAAGCCATCTAAGTCTAGTTGACGCAGGAAGAAATTATGTAAGTAGCAGCAGGATGCAAAACTTCAGGGGAAGTCTCTCTTCAGTTATCGTGTAGGAAGACTGTATGGTTTCCTAGGCACAGCTACCCTCACTGCTATTTTAATCCAGTGTTGAGCATCTTCCCAGGGAGAACAGATAATAGGATATGCTCGCAGACTGCGGTAATGCTCTCCCTGTGCCTGCGCTTTTCCCCAGCATATTTCTGATACAGTTTTAACAGTGACTGGTACAGAGCCTCATGAAAACCGGTCCGGAGATTTAATAGGCAGTAGCATCTATGTTTCTGCCCTCCCCCAACAAACTCCTGACCCAATTGTCTCTCACCTTATTAGACATGGAATCTGCATCTGAGATCCAATATTGTGAATGTATGTGACCAGATAGGTTTTTAACCCCTAATGATTCACACAAACTAAATTACGTAGTTTGGGGGTTTTTTTAACCATCAAGGACTTTTCTTTATTCATTCACATTACACTTTGCAATTCAAGTATAAACCCAGGGAGATAATGTAAATTGTACTCCTTCAATTTGAGAACGTGAGGAGAGTGACTCAGAGCAGGCTCATGCTCTCTTGTCTTTTCGTATCTTCTAAATTACATTTTATATTCAATAAATTAATACTCTGAATCCTACAGATGGCTCAGAAAGAGAAATGGGACATTTAGAAAGGCCTAGGAGAGACAAAGGATCTACTAAAGATAGCCAAGGAATTTCATGATTCCTACCTTTTTCGTGCTGCCAGTTGAAATCAGGCGTGGGGCAAATTCTGTGCAATTTCATCTGCTCCTGAAGTTAGTTGTTGAAACTCAGAAGACACCTCATGTGATTGACGTGCCGCAAGATGATGCGAATTCAGAGCCTTCTCCTTAGTCTGTGGCATTCAGGTATAACATTCATATAAATGAATGTTAATTTCATTTCTTCAGTCATCACAGAAACTCAGAAGGAAAACAGAAGGGAATTAAGCAAGATGTCCAAGGCTAACCACGTACAAACTAGTAACTGTAGCTTGTTGTCTCAGTGCTTCACCTGTCCAATGCCTTAACAACAGCTCAGTGTTTCTTCCTTAAGGATTTTCATGGCCATCGAGTTGCTCCTTTAAAGTAGTTTCAATGTTCGCAGTATTACTTTTCCAGATACACACTTACACATACCTATCAATCTACGTAACTTGTACCGTAATAATATTGCAGGGAAAAACCAAGGTTTAAAACAAACATTTGAAAGCCTAGCAAGCAACAAACCAGTTCTTTTATGTCTTCTGATTGATCATGGATTCATCTGACCGTGTTACTAAATGTTTTGTGAGAGCAGATTGCTGACAACACTTCAGATTTAGAAATGGCCTTCTGTTTATAGTTTCCACTTCTGGCTGAAATAGGAATGCCATAATTGGCTTTTTTGCTCAGCATGGAAGGGATCTCTCTCACCTCTGCTGAGGTGAACCAATGCAAAACAAATATCCTTTTCCACGATACATTTCTACTCTTTTGTTCAGCTGTAACCTCTCAGACCTGTTAATGTTGCCTTCTAGGGCTCTTGTACCAGGAATATCGAGATAAATCTACACGCCAGGAAATTGAAACCAGACGACTGCAGGATTCACAGACAGACCCTGAGGAGACTTCACCCAGCGAGGAAACCCCATCTGAAGCAGAACCTACAAGTACAACAGAAAGCAAAGCTCCACCACAAATAAGTTTGCTGAGGAACTCCAACTCCAGGTTCAATTTATGGCAGGATCTTCCCGAGATCCGGAGCAGTGGGGTTCTCAGCATCCTCCAGCCAGATGAGATCAAGCTGCAGGAGGTAAGGGGGGAAGGTGGAGCGTTTCTTAACTGGGTTGCTGCTTAAAAGAGCGAGAGTGAATTAAGTCAAATGATCAATATTTAAAAATGAAAAGCTTCATAGCAGTCACAGACAAGCCCTTCCCGCTGAGTACTTTTCTGTGTTGCACTGGTTAGCACCACTCACTCTTGTTTTGAAACTACAGATGTTGTTCTATGTGCTATTGCTGCTGGACATTTCTGTAGCAAAAAAAAAGAACTTATTTTCCCTTTTCTGATTCAGTGTTAGGAGCAATTTACAAAGGAGGGGAGGGGGAATAACGAAGAGGCTCTTGCAATAGAGCTTTTGGTTCCCAGTGCATATTAATGCTCTTCTGAAGTTGCTAGCAGGATGCACACTTTCCACCAGAAATCTTCAAAGACTTCAACCATTAACTGTAATCTGTTTTAAATATGATGGAATTAATGGAAGAGATGGAGGTTGATAAGCTTCCTTATTTTTAAACATTACTTGGAGTCTTATATAAAACAGTAAGAAATAATGACAGGTATATTTGCATTTTAGCCATACAGTGCAGTGACATCACTGTTTAAGAGTCATATGCTGTTAATTGATAGGGGTGCATCAAACAGTGAAAGGAGTAAGTGGGGGTAGCTGCTGCAATTAATGAAAACATCAGTCACACAACAATTTACAACTGGTTGCTATTTTGGATAGCATAAAGAGCATGAGTGCTCTTTGTCAATGCATAGCACTGCATTTGTAGCCAGCAGTGGAGACGAACAAGCCTTGTTCAGCATGTGGCACACATTGTAATACAAGCAATGGGCCTTCAAAGGCTCGATCCTGTGAATCCTGCTATACTCCCGCGCCAGGATTGTTTCTGGTGAGACCGTTGTGGCAGTGTATCGGTTCAGACCTCGCTCATGGGATTGTGCCCAAAGTGTTGACGAATATCTCTGGGTGTGAGCAGTTCCCCCTAAATTTAGTTGGATTTGCATAAGTAACATTTATGAATCCCTTGTGTATACAGTGCCACCCCAGCCCTGGCCAAGGCTGTAATGTTACTGTTACGCTGGAAAGGCTCGTCCTGTGAACTGCAGGGGCATGATGGGCCAGGCTGTGTTACTTACACCCTTCATGGAAGGGACCGGTGTTTATACAGGGTAGCTCGGGCTGGTGAGCACAGGCTGTTTAGTGTGTCAGGGTTATGGCTGAAGGTGACTAAAATGATTTGTTGCTTTTCCATGTTCTGCACTGGTTATTTCCGTATCAGATTTGTTCTGTTTACCTGGCAAAACACGGTATTTCTAACTGCCAGCATTACAAACACAATCTGGCATCTGAAAAATTACAAGCTTTTATCTTTCTTTCTGCTTCAAAATGAAGAGTCTTTTACAGAGAAACATTCACTTTGCATTATAGATTTCAAAACTTGCCATTTCTGTTGAGTTACATTCATTACCTGTAGGTGTCTTAAGGAAAAAAATCTCTGTGCTGCTAAATGCGAACATTAAGTGTGCTGAATTTTCTTCTCTCTGCTTAAATAACAAGAGAAACGAAGCAGATGGAGATGGGACAGTGCTGCCTTAAAGAAGTGCTGTGCTTTCCCCTGATGTTAGTTTATCAGAGCTGAAATTTTCTTCCTGTTTGTTCTGGGATTAGCACAGTAAGAGATTTTAAAATTGCTCGAAGCCAGAAAGCTGTGAAATTGGCTGAACATTGAATAGATAAAGTGGAGAATTTGCTTTGTGAAGAGAGTCAAGGACAGAAAACAAGGAGGGCTGGAGATATCACTAAGGCAATTAAAGAGATTATATTGAATTCAGACTTGCTCCTGCAGTTGCTGGAACTGTACTTACATTGGATGTGAATTGGGAGTGTGAGCTGTAAGTGAGGGCTTGGTTAAGTAAAGTGTTCAGCTTCATGGAGGAGAATTGGAGGAATTTACCTGAAGTACGGGCAGCAGAGTAAATGTCTTGAGGACAAAATTCTACCTTTCTGACCCATTATATCTTCAAAGCTGTGGTAAACACAGGGACTAGAAGAACTTGCAGCTCTTCAGCCAGGAAAGGTAGAATAACAGTATTATTTAGACCACAGGAAGGAATACCAGTACACAAACAGAAAGACAGTTGAAGCAAAGACCCCTGTTCACCCCTGAGGAAGGGAGTATCACCATAACTGTGATGGAGCAGGGCTTAAACAGTCAGAGATAAAGTTGTCCGTCTGCAGTAATCTGCAAAATGAAAGAGACAGGAGCAAGAGGAATCTGGTCTTTGTTATTGGCAAAGACAGAAAATGACTAAGCAGGTTATTAAGACAAAATAAAAACCAAAACACAGGTGTTTTTCAAGCATCAAAACAAGAAACTTGGCTAGAAGAGCAATGGATGCTTGGAAAGTGTCATGGAAGGCAATTTGTCATTGTCTCCATTGGAACAAATGAACCAGAAAATGGAATTTCAGGAAGGAAAAAAACAACCCCCCAAAAAACCACAAAACCACATCCACCCCCCAGCAATTTCAGCACAAAAATGTTGCAGCATGGCCCATTAGCCCTGGGAACTGAAACAGAATTCAGACATTGATGGCCTCTGCCACACCAGCCTTTTCCATCTGAAGCAAATGTGAGAGTAGCAAGATGTAAAACAAGAACTGGAAGTGTCACTGGGTGCAAATGCAGAAAAAGGAAGAACAAAAGAAAAAGCAAAAGACATGTTACAGAGGTCAGGGAAAAACAAAAATTATGTGCTACTGGAATAATTATCAGAAATTACGAAGTTGTTGATAGGGTAGTTTTAATTATCCAGACATCTGGACATCAAACAGAGCAAAACAGAATCACCAAGGGCTTTTTTTAACTCTCTAGAAAATGTAATGATGCAAGAAGAACAAGCCAAAAGAAATACTGTTTGGGTTCTGACATGGAATCAATGTGGAGGAAACGATAGGCAACATGTATGTAGCAGGAGGAACAAGTGACTAGAGAGAAAACACTCCCTGTGTTACCGTGATTTAGATTAAAACAAATTCTGTCTCCACGGTATTAGGCTCTGAAGAGGTAGCGATCCAGAGATTAGACGAAACAAAATTTAATCAGTGTAACTTCTTTCAGCGTGAACCTTAAATGAGATATCGGAATGGCCTTTTTGTGGAGTGGCTCAACTTTATTCCTCTTTCCCAGTTCAGTTCTCTACCTTTCAGTTTGTCCATGTTCTATTTACTGTATAGTTTCTTTGTTTTGTCCTTGTCTGCTTGCTAACTGTATTGATTTTCCTACATCGTATTAATCTTCTATGTTTTAGGAGATTCCGAGCTGAGTGGAACTTGCCCCAAACAATTTACTAATAAAAATAGTTAAGCAAAGTATTCTCAGTATTTGAACTGAACCATTTTTGCTGAGATGTATGAGCTTTCATAAAGTTTTTGCCAGGGATTTTTTGGATTCAGATCACTTCAGTGTTAGAAAAAGGGGCAGAGACAGACTAATCTGCACCATGTGTCATGGTGTGAATTTAGATCAGAGAGCTGCTGCTCTGAAAGTATTCTTTGCTTAAGCAAAAGAGGGGCTTGAATCTGGTTGTGCACACTGGTGACGTGGCCTCTGTGCAGAAAAGCACATTTAACAGGTAGGCAGTCTTTCTCTCTTGTTCCATTTTCACAAAAAGGTCCAGAAAATACTTAGTTTCCTTTCCTTCTTTAAGCAAGCCTTAGATTTCAACCCTCCAGAGAGTTCTTGTGCTGGACTTACTGCACTTATAGCAGGTGGATATCAGACTGGCCCTATGAAGGCCACCAGGTCCGAGGGCTGGTCACAGCAATGCCATGGCATCGGATCAGAACAACATCCCTCCTAGACCAGACCAGGATTCCCCTTCTTACCTGGTGGTTTACAGGAAGAGCAGGGCCATTGGGAACAGATATTTCCAATCTGGGCAATAAAACACCATATTGTCTATATAGGAATTTAGCCTGTAGGATTACTTACTCTTGTCTTTGGTGACTCTTATTTTTTCTTCTTTTTTATCTTCTACGCTTCCTTCTTCCTTAAGTTTCTCTTTTCCTTTCTCAGTCTCTCTGCCAAAACATAAGCAATGAAAACTATTAGTATAGCTTTTACGTGACTATGAGCTTTCATGAAGTTAATGACCTAGAGGTCTGATGAAACAGTGTTGGTCATGTTTCCAAGAGATAGTTTCAGGCTATTTGTAGACTCGGGAAGATAGCATTACATCAACTGACATTTAGTTCAAATTTTTTTCTAGTTATTTTTGCAATTCTGAGGCCAGAAGGTCACACTCTTTTTTTTAAACGACTGCTTAGAGTTGGCAAAGTTCAGTTATTCCACAGAGATCACATCATTGCATCGCGTGGTTGGATGTTTGGTGCCAGTTTGGGAGGTTTGCAGCTCATACTTACCATTCAAAAGGGAAACAGCAGTCTGAGCTGCTTGCACAGGTATTTTGGGTCTGCAGAGGACCAGCTGAATCTTCAAAGTAAATTAAGAAACTTGTGCCTTACACATGCTGTGAACACTTCCAGAAGCTTGTCCCAATCAGTGGATATGCTCTTTATTTTGCTAGCATCTCCTTTAAATCAGAACCCAGAATTTGTATATTCACTATGGATTTCATTATTTCTTTAGTGTGGCTTGTACTCTGCACGCAGGTCTAGCACACACACCCCCCACTATGGTGAACGGCAAACACATATAAATTAATTTCTCCAAACATAGGCAGAGGGGCTTCTGCAGATCACGAAGCAACCTTCTAGATGAAGCAAGTTGTCTGAGGGCTTAAAGGCTGCGGTAGAGTGGCAGGTCTATGATCTTGGCACTTGTGGCCATCCTGCAATCAAACCTGGCAGAAAAAAGAGCCTGGTTTGGCATGCCTGGAAAGCTGCAGTGCGAAATGACTCGTGGTATCAATCCCCAGGGTATCTGGAAGGGACAGGCTGTCCCAGCGCATCCTGTCTTATTCTTTGTTGTATCTTTACCTATTCCCACTTCTCCTCTCATTTATCAAAGAAAAAGTTACAGTTAAAGCTGTAAGAGGTGCATTTAGACCTAGCCAGTGGTGTAGAGAGAGAGGCTCTCTCTCAGGTTCACCAGGTGCCACAGTGAAGCTGTTGGGAGAGGCCGAGCTGATACTCCTCCACTTTTCTCACTGGGAATCTAGCCTTGAAAAAAATAAAGCATCCTGTTATTCCTTAAACACCAGCTGTTCCACATACACCAGTTGAGGACCTTTATTTCTGCCCATACCCTTTGCTCTGTCTCCCCACTGGGGGCTGTGCAGGCACATCCTCCTTCTCTGGTGCAGGAAAGGACCACCTGCTTGACTTCACTGCCCACTGGGAGTATTCCCTAGGCTACCAACCCTGCAAAGAGTTGAAACGTCACTTCAACTGATATTTTAGCAGCTCTGGATCGAGTAACAGTCCCTCCTTGCTGTGCCCAGCCTCCCAGATCGTGGACTGCACCACAGTGTCAGGAATATAACCCAGGTCTCCGTACCTCAGGTTCTTCTGTGATGCATAGTGATATTTCCAGGAAAAGACAAAAACCTGATCAGTGGAGAATTTCAAATCATTTCTTTAAGAAGAAGAAAAAAAAAAAAAAACCCCCCCCCCAAAAAAAAAAACAACAAAGCCACAAGACAGACCCCAGCTAATTTAGAAGATACTTTTCCATATGCACAGCACAAAAAATACTGCATGTACCTACTGCTCCATTGGATCTCCTCAACTCTAGCTGGGCCCCCTGCAGCCAGCAGAGCTCAGGGACTTGCATCCACACTGCCTAGCTGTCGTGGTTTAACCCGGCTGGCAACTCAGCACCACGCAGCCGCTCACTCACTCCCCCCTCCCTCAGTGGGATGGGGGAGAGAATCGGAAAGAAAATAAAAGGTTAGAGCCGAGGGCTGAGATAAAGACAGTTTAATAAGAGAAAATAATAATAATAGTAATAATGAGAATGATAACAGAATATACAGAATATGCAAAACAAATGATGCACAATGCAATTGCTCACCACCCGCCGACCGATGCCCAGCCCGTCCCGAGCCGCGAGCAGTCCCCAAGCCACAAGCAGTCTCCCCGCAACCGACCGAACTAACCCCCCCGAGCATGACGTTATATGGTATGGAATAGCCCTTTGGTCAGTTTGGGTTAGCTGTGCTAGCTGTGCTGTACTCCCAGCTTGTTATGCACCTGGCCGAGCAGGAGAAGCTCAAAAAGTCCTTGAGTAGTCTGAGCACTACTTGGCAACAGCTGAAAACATCAGTGTGTTATCAACATTCTTCTGGTACTAAATCCAAAACACAGCACTATGCTAGCTACTATGAAGAAAATTAACTCTATCCCAGCTGAAACCAGGACACTAGCCAGCTCCCACCCTCACCAGGGTGCAGCAGAGGAGCTGTGGGCAGTAGGGGAGCTTGGGCTCAAGGGTTGAAGCAGCTTTTGGTTCAAGGAAACGAAACTTTCACTGAGCTATGAGAATGTTCCTCTTTCAGTAGTGGCATCATGGGCCAGCCCCAGGACAAGGAGCCCAAGACACACCTTCATCAAGAGGTGTCTGAAGGATCTAACAATTTTTCACCGTGTTGAAGCCCTTATGAGAATCTTCAGTTAATCTTACTTCAACTAACGGATTCAGTAATTGTGTAAATCATCACCTTTTTTACCTATCTCTGAACAAAGACAACAGAGACTTGCTTGGAGAGTAAGGGAGCTCTGTGTGGTAGTAGTGGACTGCCTCTGTGGCACCTGCTGTAGGCAGAAAGCTTTATATCCTCGTCTCATTAAATTGCTTTTTTATCCCTGAACCAAACCACCAATTTGTCTTTCTGCTTGCCCAGACCATATCCCTGGCCTGAGGAAGCCAGGCTTTGCTCCAGAGTTTTCTCTTCTAACAGGAGAAACAAGGACTGAAATTTGGAGATTATTTACGACTTACACTGACAGTTAGGGACTACTGTGTCTTGTCCCAGCGCTTGATGAATTGGGTCAGAAAAGTGCATGGCCAGGGCTGACCAGGGAGCCTCACTTGGACAGTAACAGATGTATTTCCTTTGGGTCAGAAAAGACACAGGGGCTTGGAGCACCACAGCAGTGTATTTGTATTAGCTCTGCCCCAAGGAGCATGTCGCACACTGGGATTGCAGTGTGCTGGCTGCTGTACATCCCAGCCCTTACGCCATGTTTTTTCTAAAAGAAGAGTGCAGGTGGCGCAAAGACACCCTCCTGGGTAGCACAATAAGCAAAAACAAGCAGAGCAACAAGGCAGTGCTGTCATGATCAGCAGGGAGTTGGAGGGTGTATGGGGGCTGCCAAGGGGAACTCCCCAAAAGGGAGATGAAAGGGCAGGACTGTGACAAGTGGGCATAGAGGGGGCTGGTGCCTGGAGCAGCCTCAGGTCAAGACTGAGTGATACTAGGGAAGGAGGGAGGGAGCTTATAAATAATGAGAAAAAGAGAATTCTGCTGGAGAGATTCAGTTGAAGGAAATGTGGTCAAACAACTTAGGAGAGAGACAGAAGGAGCCAGGGCTGATGGTTGAGGAAAGAAATCTTCCCTGTTCAAGTCACCGTCCTGTGCTAACACAAGGCAAATGCTATTGCATCCTTACCACTCCCCGTACTCTGGGCCTGGAGGGGGAGTGCGAGGTCTGTGACTGTGGGCAATACAGATGTTCTCATTAACATTATAGAATCATAGAATAGAATCATAGAATGTTTTGGGTTGGAAGGGACCCCTAGAGGTCATCTAGTCCAACCCCCCTGCAGTGAGCAGGGATACCGCTAACTAGATCAGGTATTTTTTCCTTATATCTAGCCTAAACCTACCCCGATTTAGTTTAAAACCATTACCCCTTGTCTTGTCACTGCTGGCCCTACTAAAAAGATTTTCCCCATCTTTCCTATAGGCCCCCTTTAGGTACTGAAAGGCCGCAATCAGGTCTCCCCGCAGCCTTCTCTTCTCCAGGCTGAACAAGCCCAACTCTCTCAGCCTGTCCTCATAGGAGAGGTGCTCCAGCCCTCGGATCATTTTTGTGGCCCTCCTCTGGACCCGCTCCAACACTTCCATGTCCTTCTTGTGCTGAGGGCTCCAGAGCTGGACGCAGTACTCTAGGTGAGGTCTCACCAGAGCAGAGTAGAGGGGCAGAATCACCTCCCTCAACCTGCTGGCCACGCTTCTCCCGATGCAGCCCAGAGTACGGTTGGCCTTCTGGGCTGCCATTGACCACTACCCTCTGGATGCGACCATCCAGCCAGTTCCTTATCCACCGAACAGTCCATCCATCAAATCCATAGCTCTCCAATTTAGAGAGAAGGATGTTGTGGGGGACCGTGTCAAAGGCTTTGCAGAAGTCCAGATAGATGACGTCTGTTGGTTTTCCCTTGTCCACTGATGCTGTCACACCATCATAGATCATCATTATCGCACATCATTATGTGCGCCCCTCTATAGAATGAGAAGGTACATGCTGATCTCCTTCTGTGGAATTTTCCCCCAGGCCATGTTTGAGCTGGTTACTTCCGAAGCCTCATATTACAAGAGTCTGAATCTGCTGGTGTCTCACTTCATGGAGAACGAACGTCTGAAAAAGATCTTACACCAGTCTGAGGCGCACATCCTCTTCTCCAATGTCCTGGATGTCATGGCTGTTAGTGAGCGGTAAGACAACTGCTGTTGGATTTTTGTCCAGCTGAATGGCATCGCTTTAGCTAACTTCATTTGTAGAGGGATGGAGGAGCTGACTGGGGGAAGTCTGCTACCCACTGTCAATTTCAAAGAGCCTGTGGACACATTCATTGCTTTGAACCCCAAGGGCTTCTTCTGGGAACTACCTGGGACAGACAGGTCACAATTAATATGAGCGCTGGGTTTCTCTTCTAGCTTCCTGTTGGACCTCGAGCAGCGGGTGGAGGAGAATATTGTGATCTCGGATGTGTGTGATATCGTCTACCAGCATACAGTTAATCACTTCTCTGTATACATCACCTACGTCTCCAACCAGACCTACCAGGAGAGAGCTTACAAGCAGCTTCTGTGAGTTCCAATGCTTGATGTTATTTTGCAGAATTGTATAAGCTATGGACTTAGCTGTAATTTTGATATTCTGTGCTAGATGGCACAGAAGCAGGACTTCCCACTTCACTGATTTTTCACTGCACCTGTAAAAAGAAAACACAATTAAAAGGCTTTATAGTAAGGGTGGGGTGATATAGTATGCAAGTAACATACTAAGTAAATTCAGAGCCAGCAGTTCCCAACTGTGGGCAATTTTTATGGTGTACACAGGGACACAGACTTGTGAATTGTATATATTTTTAAATTTGAGGTAGAGGCAAGAGATTAAAAGGCCAAGAATATAAATCAGTACTCTGACGACAAGAACAGCCACTGCTTTTCCTAAGCTTCTCAGCAAGGCATTTGACCTTCCCAAAGTTGAGAATTTTTTTTTCTTTTAGAACAACAAAATTTTCTTAAAAGAAAAAAAAAAGCCATTTTCTTCACATTCTGATGTTATGCACACAGGTGTTACCTAGGCCTGAGGATATAATCCAAGACGTTTTTGAAGTATTTTTCAAGTTTAGCAAAACTTCTGGTCTTCTTACACAGCTCAAAACAAAAAGTCCCCTACAAGCTTGTCTTTGAGCAGGAGAATTAATTTTTCTCTAATTAAAGTGTCTTGGATTCTTTCAGGACAGCCTCTTGCACATGCTGCACTGTATTTCCTCACCATAGCAGCAGCTGATTCAGGGGAGTGTAACAAGCCCTAATCCTTTCCTTTCTCTGCCTCTCCAGCTTTTGAGGCAAAAAAACACTTTAAGGGGGCTCTATTGAGCTTGGCCAACTGTTGTCTCCAAAAGGAGGGTACTGCAGGGTTTCCTTCAGTCGGAGGTGAGCAGTATAGCTGCAGAATATAAATAGTTTGCCTAGAGCCATTAGCTAAACACTCAGAAGCAAAGCAGTTATAGGCTGGATTACTTGAGCTTGAAAAGGACCTGTTGGAGACAGAGGTATTCCTAGGTACAAATTTAGAGGGCAGCATTTTTTTTGGCTGCGGGAGAACCTAAAGCAAATTGAAAAGAATAGACTCCCTTCCACAGGCTCCTCATTAGCACAAGAATTTTGCAGCACTTGGCTGAACTTGAAGCCTGAAGTGTGTCACAGTTTCCCCCATCTGGGTGTTCCTCAGATACACGCAGGTCCGTTCTGCTGTGGCTCTGGTGAGTCACACCATCATACGAGTACCTGCAGCAGCAGGGAGAAACACTTACAATGGCTTTTCTTGAATCATTGCAAGTCACACACGGTAAAGGCAGGTTTTGCATAGTTAGCAATGTCTTCTCATTCATGCTGTTTCTGCTAGCCAGGACTCCAGCAGTGTAAGTCTTCCTCAGGGCCCCACAGTTGCCAAGAGGCAATTGTCTTTGACTGTGGCAGCTGGGGCTTGTGAGGCTGCTCTGTGCAGCTGCGTCCATGGCCCAGCAGTGCCCTCATCTGCTGCAAACACCATCAGGGAAGGCCCGTGCATGGCCCGTGCCCTTCTCAGGCCAGGTAATGATTTTCCATCCTCCAGCTAAGCAGGCAGGAGTAGCCAAGCTTGAGTGGTTTTGTGGCTTGTCTTGTTCTTACGACTGTGTGAATTTCACCTTGTCACAGAGATCCAACTGTGTAAAAATATATAATTATGCCTCTGACTCATCTACTTGGACACACACCCCATTCACACACACCTACGCACACAGCGTATGCTGCTGAGCTAGATGTGCTAACACATGTGAACACTACCATGGTTTGTACATTAAAAGTCTATTTTTTCCCTCCCCCAACATTATAACTAGTTCTAGATTTAAACTAAAATACACCTAGAAGCGTTCAGTCCCCGCCTCCCTTCTTTTCTCTTACTGGGAGAGGCCAGGCAGATGCTGTCTCTGGGACCAAGCTGCTTTTGGGTCACCAGCCACATACCAGAGTTGCAGGCAGGGTAGCACTCAAAGCCCTCACCTTCTCTCTCTCTCCTCTCAGCCAGGACAAGCCAGCTTTCCGGGAAGTGATCTCACAGCTGGAGCTGGATCCCAAGTGCAAAGGCCTGTCCTTTTCTTCCTTCCTGATTCTGCCATTTCAAAGGATCACTCGGCTCAAACTGCTGGTGCAGGTAGAGTTTTGCTCTTCTCTCTCTCACGAAGGTCTTCTGGATGACTCCTGGAATTTTCCTTTCCAGCAGTTGTGAATGAAGCTTAGATACATCCACAGTCCCCCCTAGAGCTGAATGTATCCTTTCCACAAAATCAGACATTCTCAACAACTATAGAAAAAAGATTTCAGTCACTCAGAAGCCATATCCAAATAGGGTTGAATTTGCCAGATAGCTTTTACTGAGCAAAAGAGGTGAGGAGGAACTTTGTCAAGCTGCTAGAAGGGGTAGCAACAGTCCATCAACCCAGCTGCCTGATGGTTAGGATGCTGACACACAGATGCACAGTGCAGAACAGCTGCAGAACATGGAAATGCTCGATGTGTAACACTCTACATCGTGATGGCCTGGACCAGACTCTGTCAGCCGTCTTCGCCCTGTGCTTCGCCAGCTTGTCTAAACACGGTGCTGGAAGATATGCCTCTAGGGACGAGGAAACAGCTCAGTCCCAAATGGTCTTATCCCACTAGGATTACCAGCAGCACTGTCTGTTAGTGCCACCTCTAGCTATTTTTATTTATTCACTTATTTTTATGAAATAAATCTACTTTATGAAAAAAAAAATCTATATTTCTTTTAGATATAAGGTCAGATGGGAACAGGTTTTAATGAGAAAGAGGAACTGAGATACGAGAGTCACTGTACTCTGTCACCTATCCTGTAATTAGGCTGATGGCCAGAAATAACTCTGAGGCTAGCAAAGACTTTTCTGTGCTGTCAGATTGGGACCAGAGTTAACACAGCCTTTCCTCCCCTGCAGAATATTCTGAAGAAAGTGGAAGAGAAGTCTGACAGGGAAACCACTGCCCTGGATGCACATAAAGAGCTGGAAACAGTAAGTTTGAATGAGCTAACTAAAGGCCATTAAGATTAAACCATTGTGCTCATTTCCACCACCACTGCCCCCTTCCCCTTCCCCCCTAAAAAGACCTACAAACTGTATTCACTCCTGGAGCCATCCCTTTGAATTCTGTCACTGTGTTTCAAGAGTAAGTTTTTTTTCTTAAGTCTTCCTTGCTCTCAAAGATGGACTAATCTAGCAGCACTTTGATGTCACTGATGACGAATCCCTTGATAACAACATATGTGTATGTTTCCGCTGTAGGAAAAGGCAGAGAGAACGTTCTCCCTTTATTTCTTCACAAATACAAATTTTTTTTGCAGATATCTGAAGGTGATGGATCCCACTGAGAGCTGTAATTAGCTGCAACAGGCAGTAGAATACAACTGTGTCAGGTTTCCTCCAATACAGCACACTTCTTCCTCTGACCTAGAATAAGAGTTTCTTAATGAAGTACTCAGGCCTGCTTTTAGTCCTCTTCCCTGAAGCTGGTAGGTAGGTGTGGTGTCCAGTTGTGCTAGTTACTGCTGTGTACAAAACACCAGGAAGGCAATGGTATGTTTTCCATCTGGGCTGTTCCTGACACAGTCGGACAGGGTGATCCCACCTCCAGGCTACATATCTGAATGATCTGGATGTAGCTGGCAGCTACATGGGCTGGGACAGAGTCTTTGAACCCTTCTCCATCAGAAGCATGGAACATCTCTTGAATCCTGCAGTTCTCCATAAGAATTTGAAGTTGAAAACTGTGCTAGAACGTTAGCCTGAGAATACAGTTGCAGCTTTGGACTGAAATACTAGAACAAAATGGTCTCTTGGATTTACCCTGGACTCATCTAGCAAGTGTACGCTTTGGGGATGGCTAGGGATAAAGACAGAGACCTTAGTAATGAAGATCATGTTCTGCATTAGTTAATATTTGCAGAATCCCTCATGCTGTGTCTGGTAGCCAGTTGTTTTTCCATTGGTCAAAATCCTAAGGAAAGCTGTTCCTGTAGTACACAGATGACTACAACTACTGATGGAAAAATGCTTTTTATGTTCAGCTGTCAGTGACTCATGTGATCAGTTTCGTAACTCCCTTCGCATGGTTACTTATCTGAAAATGTTTAGGTTTAGATGCCTAATGTCCAGCTAGGTGCAGGTATCACAACAGAAACCATCTGGTGCTTATCTTCTTTATAGGTATCCTATTGGATAGGTAGGAGCTGATCACAGTTTCAGTTACTGATATTCTGGCAGATTTTGAGTAGCAGAAACAGAGCACAAAGCTGAGCTTGTTCTCCAACATAATTTTCCTACCTAGTGAGTTCTCAAGAGAGTTGTTTCTTATGAAACAGTCAGTGGCATCTAGGTTAAGGTCCCTGTAAATAGGGTAGTGCCTGCATGTTGGTTGTGGTTTTTCAGTTAAAAATTTGTACTCAGAACACAGCTGGGCTCTGTATGATGAATGTCTCTTTCCTTGGGACATTTCATAGCCTTGGCATCTGGTGCCGCTTGGCAGAACCACAGCATTTGCATCTTTGAAATGAGGATCTTTGGCTTCGTTCTCTTCTTGAAGATGATACTGCGCGTGTACCTCGTTTCAAGTGTTGGGGACAAGAAAGATGAGATACGTAGTGTGTCAGGATCTGGCAAATGAGCTGTTCCTTTTGCTGTGCAGCCAGGAGCATTGCTTAATGCTGTCTGGTTCAGTAACTGAATGCAGCCATCTAACATGTCCTCCAACAGTCAGCTTCCATCTATAACATTTTCTGGGTGTTTGGGGGGTTTTGTTGCTGTTCTTTCTTCTTTTTTTCTTTTCTTTTTCACGTGAATACAGTGCTGATAGAAGAGCTTGGCTTGGTCAATTCTTGATACGGCAGGGCACTTACCCTATCACAGTCAGGCCTTTCTGTGCTGTTTGTCATCACTTAACTGCTTAAGGCCAGTGGAGGCAAATCTTTCTACTCTCTTTTTCTCAGGTGGTGAAAGCATGTAATGAAGGTGTCAGGAAGATGAGCCGAACAGAGCAGATGATCAGCATCCAGAAGAAACTGGAATTCAAGATCAAGGTATAAGCATAGGCTGGTAACCCTTTGCAGACAGTGAACCAACAGCATCCAGGTGTTGTGTGCACATACGTGGCAGTAGTAACCTAGTTGCACTCCTTTTAGCGAGTGTTCAGCGGTGGCCTGGTCCATGCTGTCCCCCTCCAAAGGCTTTTTATGTACCTGGACAACTGAAGTGAAAAAATTTGAGGCCATTTGTTTGGAAAGCCACACTGGGAAACCAAGAATTTGATTTTCTAGAGCACTTTACCAGTGTGTCAGGGCTAGACCACAGTCCACAGGACAGCAGTAGATTTGGGGTAGCCAGAAGACTGCCTTCACCTCTTGTAAAGCTGAGGCTGTAAGGACAGGCAGGAGCTGGTTCATCCCTGGAGCAGGCCTGCCTTGGGCACTGGCGCAGACAAGGCTTCTCTGGTGAAAAGAGTGCAAGAGCGTGGAAAGACAGACTGTGCCACCATGCATGTGTCGAACACAGGGAGGGAGTGAAGGTGGAAAGAGTAGTGGTTATGCAGATATTTTCCAGTATTTCAGTCGTTTGACTGGAAGCATAGTGTTCTTCTACCATAAGACATGCTTTGTTCTGGGCTTCTTGTTTTTAACACAGTGTGTGGTAAAACTCTAGCAGAAGTGCTGTTGTGGCTGTGTGGACAGTATCTCCTCCCAGCTGGGACAGACCCAACCATCTAACCTGGGTTTTTTGTAGCCAAAAGGCCAAATAAAAAGTCTCAGAAAGGCTCAGCCCAGGCGATGAGACATGGGATCTCCCAGAGACAGATCAGGCTGTGCAGGGCATAGCCTGGTGTTTAAATCCAGCACTTGGCCTGCCCTCCAGCATCAGCATCCTTCATTCTCGGGCCCCTGCCATGTCCCTGTCTGAGCTCTGTTGCACACCGTGCCAGGCTGCAGTGTGGATGGCAGAGCACCCTGTCCTCTCTGCTCCATCCTCTGCAGTGCGGGCTGTGGATGGGAGCACACTTGTGCATCTCCTGTTGCTTTCAGCATCTTGACTGCATAAGTTTTTTTGCTGCTATCCTGATCTTTGCCATCTTTTCCTCACTTCTAGTCTGTGCCCATCATCTCTCACTCCCGATGGCTGCTGAAGCAGGGGGAATTGCAGCAAATGAATGGTCCAAAGACATCACGAACGCTTCGCACTAAGAAACTCTTCCGAGAAATCTACTTGTTCCTTTTCAATGACCTGCTGGTAATTTGCCGGCAAATTCCTGGGTGAGTGCAAAATTTGGGTAGTATGTGGGGCACTGCATTAGTCCTGTTTACCCCTGGGTTCATCCAAGCTGTGATGCTGTGCCCCTGCCCTGTCCCCTAGGCACAGGGAGGGCATCCTGGCCTGCCCTGTACACCCCCCTCCAGCAGTCACCTTGCCTTTGAGCACAGTTGACTCTTCATGGGTGGCACAGCTCTCTCCAGTTGAAAATGTGTGGCAAACAGGACTTGAACAGGTTCCAGGTCAGGTGTCCCAGCAGGGTTAGCGAGCATATATCCACCGGTTTCTGTAGAGTGGCAGTGAGCTACATCAACTGGTGGGCTGACCCAGGAGGCCTGTCTTCCTGTCAAGAAGTGATTTTTGACTCATTGTTGCCTGAAGAACAGCTCAGACTTAGTTAAACTTCTAAGAAAGCAGGCTAGAAAATTTGAGCAGTAGGGAGAGGTATAAATTTAGGCCTGAGGCTAGCGTTTATATTTGACGTGGTACAGCCAGCCTCAAGAGGAGGAGGAGAACGTCATCATGCTTAGAACTATGTCTTGTGCAACTAGACACTAGTGAAATACTGCAGCACAAACAGACGGGTCCCAGAGAACAGCACGTTCTTTGTAGCATTAACTAGACTCACCGGTAGAGAGCATCTTGCTGGTCCAACGTTTCTAATAAACATGTCGCCGCAGTGTCTGTACGCCTGGAAATATTTTGCTTCTGTGGCAGCTTGTATCCAGAAAACACAGAGGCATTTTACAAATAGGAATGAATTAAGCCTCACAGTCCCCTTTGAGGGAGCACCGTCTGTGTTCTGTACATGGGGAGCTCAGACAGAGCAAGCAACTTGTTCTAGGCCATGCGGGATGCCTAAGGCAGAGCAAGGAGAGGGTCTCTTGATTTGCAGCGGGTTTTCATAGCCACCTGCTCATCCCTTCCCACAGCAGGATATCTTCTATCCTCCTGCCATGCAGAGATTCCTGGGCTGTGTCCTCAATACAGTTCTGGGTGACTGAAGCCAGAGTCTCCTGGGATAACTGCAGTTTTTCTTAATCCTCTAAACTCTCCCAGGGACAAGTACCAAGTGTTTGACTCGGCTCCCCGGGGGCTTCTTCGGGTAGAGGAGTTAGAAGACCAGGGGCAGAGTTTGGCCAACGTCTTCATTTTGAGGCTGCTGGAGAATGCAGATGATCGGGAGGCCAGCTACATGCTGAAAGCATCGTCCCAGTGAGTACAACAGTTACCCTGCCAGTGCTCAGCACTGCTTTCTCCCTACACCCATGCAAGGGCAGCACCCTGCCTGCACGGGGGCCAGCTCTCCGGGCTTACCAGGGACAGGCAGGCAGAGCTCCCACTGCTGCAGCTGGGCTGGCCGTACAAACTTCTCTGCCCAGCATCGCTCTTCTGAGGCTGCCTTCTGTCTCTCTGACTGAAAGGCACTAGTGAACTAGGCTGGTTTTTCTCCTGTATGGTGTATTTGTAGCAGCTGGGGTGGAAGATGGGTGGGTACTTTGCATTCTGGGACAGAGAGGTCAGAAATCAGCCCCGGCACAGCAGCCTAACTGATGTACAGCCTGCAGCATGTTCAGAAAGTAAAAGCAAGTAGGATGTGCGCTGGCTCAGGTGGCTTACTTGCGGAGATCAAGGCTGTGCATGACCAGCCTGTGAAGCAAAGTGGCTCCTACTTGTAGGCAAGGGTGGAGAAGAGGCCTCTTCCTCATCACCTTCCACAGCCAATGCCGATCTTGCACAGCCCTTCTACTGCTGGGAGCCTCCTTGTCTCCCTGGATACAGGTTTTTTTGGCTCACTGATTTTTCACTTCAGACTCCAACAAGCTCACACTGGGCAAATGATTCAGCTGTGCTAACACAGACCTGATTGTTTTGGAGCTCAGGGCATTGCTCTCTCGTCGACCCAAGCCTTACCAGGTCCACATTTTCTAGGCAACAGCATCTGTGCTGTTACAGGTATACGTGTCCCACCAGTTAAACAGCTACTAGAGATAATGTGCACCCCCAGCTTGATATTACTTTGCTGTCAGCAGGCCAGCGTTCGACATCCATATCCCTTAACAGACATCAGCCCCACCTGGGACCACATCCTGCTGCAGCCTGGGGGCTGCACACCCCGCAGCGCAGTGCAGCACCGGCATCGGGAAGACAAGCCCTCAGTGCAACGAGCAACTGCACCTTCTCCCCAGCCATATGACTGCAGCTTTGCTGTACTGAAAATAGAGATGTCAGTCATGTTATGCGGGGCAAACGCACGTTTTGACGTCTGTGAGACTTAGCTGTGCAGAGAACCATAAACCAGGCCAGGGTTTGCTTCAGCTCAGGGGAGGCAATTGCAGTTCTGTTCTTCTGCATCCTGTCCCATCTTCTAGGTGGCCACAGTAAATATGTGATCCAGCACACAGTTTGCCAACAGGTCTTGCACACTGAAATGTGATGTAGCAAATGCTGAAGGTTGCTGTTCCAGAGCTGCAGGGGCGACCGGAGCAGTAGCAGGCACAACTGGAAAATTGAAGAATTAGAAGACACAAGTGGGTTCCAAACAGAGACTGCTGCATCTGTTCCACAGCTCTTGCAGCATTTCCCAGCTCTGAACCCATAAGGCAGTGATGACCAGCTTGGTGGCAGCTTGCAGCCAATGCCCTGGGTGGGCTCTGTCAGGAGCTGGCAGTACAGTGGGACACAGCTGGCAGCAGGGGCAGGACTGGAGCGCAGGTGGGCACCTCACAGGCTGAAAGGAGCTGGGGACTGTGGGTAGGATCCAAAGAGCGCTGCAGGAGCTGCATGCAAGGCCAGCCCCTCAGTGCACAGCACCCTCATCCTGCACATCTTCATGGTGTGAGGGGCTGCACTCTATCTGCAGCTGCAGGTGTTTTCACTGGTCCTTGGCATTGTGCTTCAGCCCTGAAGCACAAGGTATTCCCAGCCCTGCAGATCAGCCTGCCAGCACTCGTCCTTCACGTCTCCCTTTTAAGCCTCTCTTTTCACAGAAGACGCTCCAGTGACTTTAGATGTGTGTCAAGTTCAGGCTTTAAAACTACCGTCTGAGAAAGTAGAAAGTTCTGGCTCCCTCCGGGCCAGGAGTGCAGCTGGTCCTCCAGGCAGGCGCTGGAGCCTGTGAAGATGAACTGCCCTGTTTCCAAGCAGGGATGAGGGAAGCCTCAAGGGAGCTCCAGGCCTGGGATTTCTCCAGCACCTGCAAAATCTTCACCCTCCTGCTGCATGCCCAGGTTTTGCATAACAGCGTGCTGGATCTGGCAATGTGTTTGCACAGGTCTGTTGTCTCATCCACTGCCAAGCGAGTGGTACCCTTGACATGCCGCAGCGTTCGTCTGCAAGTGAATTAATCAGCTCTGCCCTTTAAATGTTCCCACACAGCGGCTGCAAGAATAAATGGTTCCTTTAACTGCTTTTCTCCAGGAAAAACTGCTTCTGTTGACCCAGCCCAGTCAGAAGCAGTCTTTGCTGGTTAGAGCTCAGAGGATGCCAGCCCCACCACCCTGCTGCTGGCTCCCTGACTCCATGCTGCTCCCCAAAGGGGGATCCTGCTGCTTGCAGGGACAGCCAGCCTGGTGGCCTGGCTGCAAGCCCCAAGGCACTGTGGCATGTGTGACATCCCAACCGGTGCATGCAAGAAGAGGGGCTCAGCATCACCAGTGAGTTCAGGATCCCAGGGGGGCAGGCAGCAAAGAGCTGTGAGAGAAGGAATTAGGAGCCTGGGGCTGGCTGGCTGGACAGGAGAGCTGGGGTCCCTATGACTGTCTCATGCTCACGGCCTCGGTTTGTCTCCCCTATCCAGGAGTGAAATGAAGCGCTGGATGATTTCGCTGGCCCCAAACCGAAGAACCAAGTTTGTTTCATTTACATCCAGACTTGTTGGTAAGAGACACAGCATGGGAGCCAGGAGCTCTTTACCCCTACCCTGGGGCACCTTATTCTGCCCTGATCTCAGTCCAATCCCAGACCTAGGGCCTCTGCCAAAGCTGAACCCTCTCCCTGGACTCCCCTTGCGATTCCACCACCGATACCTGCTTGTCTCTGGGCCTGGCCCCGACCTTGTCCCCCTCCAACCTAGGCTGGGCTGCACCAGCACTCTCCCACCCATGCTGCTCATGGGTGGGCACTGTGGTGGTGGTGCGCACCCAGCTCCCTTCCCCACAGAGCTGCTCCCCTAGTCCCTGTGGCTCAGGCACCCCTTGGCCTCCGCAGGGTTTCTTACCAGATGAGAGGGACCGTTCACAGAGCTCGCGGTCGTACACCCACCTGAGCCGCACTGTCCTGCAGCGGGATCCGTCCCAGTCCATCCCTCACTCTCATCCTGTCTCCTGGCAGACTGCCCGCAAATCCAGTGTGTCCACCCATACGTGGCCCAGCAGCCAGATGAGCTGTCCTTAGAACTGGCTGACGTCCTCAACATCCTGGACAAGACAGACGATGGTATGGGGGATGGGATGGGGCTGGGCCGGGCCGGAAGTGCCTGTGGAAGGGTGGGCTTTGCTCTAGGCAGGTGGCTGCCAAGCAGACAGGAGTGACCCTCCAGCCAGGAAGAGACCCTAGCATCGGCATCACAGCCGAGGGAGCTCACAGCAGGAGGGAGTTACTGCCTCCTCCTAGCACTCAGCAAATCCAGGCTGCCCCAAGCTGTGGCAATGCTAGCACAGCCACCTTGGCGCTGGCTGTGGACCGTGGCAGGGCTGGCACAGCCACCCCTGATGTAACCCAGAGCTATTCTTACTTTGATGATGCTTCGCAGCCACCTGGTCCTGGTTTCGGGAGCACACATGTAGCTGGGGGACCACTCCTGTGGCATCAGGGGTAGCAGTGCCTGCTTTCTGCTGGCATCCCTTGAGCCAGTTGTCCAAACACAGCACTGCTCAGGCAAGCAGGTCTCCTTGGCTAGGTTTACAAACTGGGTCTGCTCCAGCACAGGCTTCTGAGCAGCCTCCAGAAAGCACTGCCAGCTCCGTAGGCTCTTCCCAGCACAACTGTCCCAGTGCAACAGCAAGGGCCAGCCCTTCCCCATTTATGTCTGTCTCTGTCTCTGCTCAGGCTGGATATTTGGGGAGCGTCTTCACGACCAGGAGAGGGGCTGGTTCCCCAGTTCTATGGGGGAGGAGATCCTAAACCCCAAAATCCGAGCCCAGAACTTGAAGGAGTGTTTCCGGGTGCACAAGTCGGATGACAGTCAGCGGAGGAAACTGGGCAGCAGAAACCGCCAATGACTGCTGGTGTCCCCAGGCGTGTGGAGTGCCTCTGGGAGAGGAGCAGAGGACAGAGGCTGCCAACTGGGAGGATGTGGCAGTGCTGCAGGACCTGGCGTGCCAGACCAGGCACATACACCCCTGAACAAACAGACTGTAGTTCCTGGGCTCCCCACAGCACTGATCCTTTCTTAGAGACCAGTGCTTTGAACTGGCTAAAATAATCCCTTTCCAGATGTTCTGTAAAGCCCCAAAGAGCACGAGCCAAACGGACACAGCCCGAAGGCCACGGGGTGCTGGCCAGCTCACCCCCGTTCCCTGCACACGTGCTAGCTGGGGCTGGCTCAACGCTACCTTTTGAGTTTGGGGCCCTCCTAAAGCAGCATCTTACAGGAGTAGAAACCGAAGCAGAGGAGCTGTCTTGAGGCCTCTCACACAGCCAGTTGGCACCAGGCTAGGACGAGCCCCAGGAGCTCCAGCTCCCCAGTCCTGCTGTGAAGCCGCTGGGCCCATTCCCTTAGGCAGAGCCTCTATCTGCTTCCAGTCAAATGCTTCGAAATACTCCATACCCAGCCCCGCTCCACCAGCAGCCCAACCTCGCCGGCCCTGACCCATGTCTCTGCCTGCCTGATGGCCTCCAAGCACATCTGGGCCCTGCCCCATGGCTCACCCCCTCTTCCACAGCCAGCACCCCTCCACAGAGCCGCTGCAGAAGCCTGGTACCGTGGCTTTCCCTGGTTGATCTGGCACTCGCGATCTCCGCTACTGACTGCTGCCAAGGGTGGCCGTGCTGGCATTTCCTGCACACCACCGTGTACCACGGGAACACCAGCAGACCCAGGCCGCCAGGCAGCAGGCGAGTGACACTACCCCAAGAGCTGTTGTCCTGCCTGCTGTGGGAAGCCCAGCGATCGCTGCCTGCATGCTTGTAACCCACGCCACCCAGCTGCACGTGCAACCTGCGTGCACAGCCTCCTGTACAGGCTCACCTCCATGTATATACGCAAATTGTCTGTCACCAGCAGAGCCGGGTCATCACTC